ATTTTTTAAAAAATTCCAAGATGGCGGCCTTGTGGTCACGTGACCTGGTTTCCATGGTAACAGATATGCGGTAATTGCTTGCCTTGAAGAATTACTACTACGAGCCAAATTTGGGAAGGATTTATAGTAAACTGTCAAAGATATGAATAAATAACTGATTTCCCATCACTTCCTCAAAAGAGCCATGCCTTAATGGTGCTGAGAATCAAATTGCGCAAAAAAAATCAGCCAATCAAAATTCTTGAAAACATCAAGGTCACGGCACGGCACGCTTATACGGCACCCAGCTTTTCACAGTCATGCGCAAACTGCCCTAGTGATGATATCTGTTGCGTAAGTAGTGGGCACGTGACTATGGCAACGTCAGTCACGGACTTGGTCGTTTGTACCATGACTAGGTATCGCAGTCATACTAAATGCTCCTTTATGCTACAAAAATCACTACGTACTTGTTTTAAAAAATCTTTCCTGGCGTTACCGTAACCATTGAAAATATGATCAGCAAATAGAAGTTTTCCTCCTATATACATCTGAAATACAAAGAAAAAATGTTAGTTAGGAGAAAAATTAGCAGAAACTATTATGATTTCTATGACAGGAGGCACGACAATAGGGTATTTTTCACCTGGGAAAATGAWTTTTTTTCACATGTAAATCAGATTAGACCAGATTTAATTGTTCCTGCCTCCTGTCATGGCTGCTATCACGTTATGGTGCAAAGCCTCTATACTATAGATTGAATGACTGTGTAATATATTATTCAACTGAGCACGAGTACGAGCTTGCTGTACTTTAGATTTGCCATTTTTCGTACGCAGACACAATAGTTACAAGATAAATGCTCAAAACAAAAAGGCAACTTAATAACATATTGACGATTTTTGCATATTTTTAGTGTCCCTTTTATCAGTTCCTGGGTAATGGTGTTTTGGCGAACAAGGATTGATGAGAAACGAAGTCGCAATCTTTTAACTGAAAGATCTATTGATGGCCGGTAGCCAATCAATTCCAAGATAGTCAGAGGACGTCAGAAGTCAAAGACGTAGCAGCCATGTTGGTGGTACTAACAATGGAGGCTAATGAGAAATATTTTGTTTAAGACCTCCAACATGGCCGCGATGACATAACTTGCAAAAAACAGCAAATAGGATATAGCGATTTCTAAACAACTGGGTTCTTACCAGGAACATTCCAGGAACAGCGTTATGTCTGGTGAGCAATAGCGGCTGCGCATGGTCTGTATCAAGTGCAGCAATGGCTATGTCGTATCGTAAGAGACGGTATGGATCATGACGAGCCTGAGAGTTGGGAAAAAATAAGATCATGATATAAATTAATGCATCACCAATAACGTATATACATTATCCAGCAGTTATTCTGCACATATGCGCTTATGTTCAAGCGATGGTGACTGGCCTAGCTAAAGAAGGACAGTGCAGACGGAGAGGGAGAAAGGTGGGTAGAGTAAATGGAATATGGGGGCTATGTGCAAGTGATGGTGACATGCCTAGCTGGAGAAGGACAGAGCAAACGGAGAGGAAGAAAGCTGTGTGTAGTAATTGGAATGTGGGGGGCGTGTGCAAGAGATGGTGGCTGGCCGAGCTGGAGAAGGACAGTGCAGACAAGGAGGAAGAAAGCTGTGTGGAGTAACTAGAATATGGGGTCTATGTGCAAGAGATGGTGACTGGCCGAGCTGGAGAAGGACAGTGCAGACAAGGAGGAAGAAAGCTGTGTGGAGTAACTAGAATATGGGGGCTATGTGCAAGTGATGCTGACTGGCGTAGCTTGAGAAGGACAGTGAAAACAAGAGGAAGAAAGCTGTGTGGAGTAACTGGAATATGGGGGCTATGTGCAAGTGATGGTGACTGTCGTAGCTGAAGAAGGACAGTGCAGACGGAGAGGGAGAAAGGTGGATGGAGTAACTGGGATACGGGGGCTATGTGCAGGTGATGGTGACTGGCCTAGCTGAAGAAGGACAGTTCAGACGGAGAGGAGTAAAGCTGGGTGGAGTAACTAGAATACGGGGGCTATGTGCAAGTGATGGTGACTGGCCTAGCTGAAGAAGGACAGTGCAGACGGAGAGGGAGAAAGCTTATTGGAGTAACTAATATTGCGTAAAAGAAACTGGAGAAGGATAAAATAATCAATGGATAAGGAATATTAAAGTCTAGTGATACGAGAATAGATGATGATGATGATGTTGATGATGATGAGATGATAATGATGATGTTGATGATGATGAGATGATAATGATGATGACGATGATGATGATGATGATAATGTTGATGATACTGATGATGCCTGGAAAGATCTGTACAGTACAAAAATAAGAAAATGCTACTATCAAGACTGGTATAAATACATTTGACCTAAACAAATTAGCGAAATATTTTGTCGGTCCAAAATATGCCATCTTCAAGTAAAAGAAGCGCAGACCAAAAGTCAGGTCAATTAGATAAGTTCTCCGTACGCTATGAATAATTTTAAAACATCAATTTAATTTGAGCTCTAAAAGAATGGTCTGTCAATTCAAAAACATGGAATGAAATCTTAAGGGTTGTGAGCTTCATAAGCATCAGAATGCTAAAGCATACCTGAACACATGGTATGGAACGGTTTCTGTTTCCCTCGTAGAACAACTTATCGAGCATCGAATCACATGGGTTAGCATCTGGGAATCTAAACAAAGCAAACATAATTTTCTTACTTTCAGGCTTTTGATGTGGAACATGTTAGTTGGTATGTGCGGGAAATACTTACGATGAAGATGTTACACTAACTACGACCATTTGTGTTTTGGCAACATGTTCTCGTATGAAAATATCATATTCCAGATCGGTAATGAGAGGTATTCTGCGACGATCACACCTGTTGAAAGAGAGAGGGTGTATGAAATAATTTTCAGGTTTTTCGTAAGTAAACATCCCATTATCTTCTTTGGACATCAGGGAAGATCCTATCTATTTTCAAGGAACATCCCATCAATAGTTTGTCGGGTAACAATTTTTCAATTGAATCCATCTGTTCTTAACGTGCCATCTTAATTTAGCCAAGGAGTTCAGTATAAATAGGCAACCCAGAAATTCCATCTTTTTATAGGTAAAATAGTGGATTTATTTATAATAATACAGTAACTACTGTACCTGCATTGCGGATATTGATCGCCTAATATTTCAGCACGAAGAGCACTATTCTTTGGTTAAGGATCGTCTTTAGTCTAAAAGTGTAGTGCAAAAGTGCAACTCCATCTGTACTAGCCTAACTACGTACTTCTAAATCATTATGTAAACCAATACACTATGACCGTCAAGTAACAAAAGAAATGAGGCTTTACGAAGTAAAGTTTTATCGAAGAAAACAAACAATAAACAAATAATGGAGAATAAAAAAGGATACACACAACATCCGCTTTTTGGTGGAGTAACGGAACGAGGTTGTTGTGCGATACCACAACGAAATGGGACACGACTTAAGGCCATGCTGTGACTTCGAGACCTTAAAAACAAGAGAAAGAAAATTATTGGTCATTATGAAATCATGGCATATAGCAAGTACCAGAACTGTATCCCTAGTGATAGAGTGGTACTGACATAAAGCAGAATCTGGCAAGCCATTAAGGATGGACCATTAGATAACTTTTTTTCGTGCGTGTGTTTGTTCGATATTGTTTTACTGAAAAGAGATGTTGCGCGATATTTTTTCGTAGGTGAATTGCTTGTTCGATTTTTTTGGGGGTGAGGAGGGGGGATTTACGCAACGCCCCTTCTCCCTCAAGTATCTAATCCGTCCCTTAGATCAGCACATAGATTATTTAAGGCGGGTTCGATAAATGGTTGATTGTTTAGCTAAGTCAGGGCATTGTTAACTCACAGATCGCATTGAAATTTGGTGTGTTGGCTTTTGCGGAGGAAGGGAATACGGAGAACCGAAAGAAAAACCTTGGATTGAAAGGAGAGATCACCCAATGAACTTAATTCACATGTATTGCTGAATCCAGGAATGAAACCCGAGTCCCAAGAGATGAGGTGCACTACTGTTAGTCCGCCACACCACCACCCTTGATTACTTTGACTGCAGAATAAGAGAGTTGCTTTTTTATACTTAAATACAAGAAGAAAGAAACTTCATAGAAACAGGACTTACCCGCTAGCGATAGAACCAGTTTTCCCATGGTACACGCCACTGTACCCGTCTTGTGGGATGTCAATAGTGACTCCTTTACTCGCATCGCCGTCAAACGGCCTGTCAGTCCGTGATCCTGTCACCGCTGAATGCGATGACCGTGAGGGAGAAGGCGTTCCACGTCTGCTTCCGAACTTTGTCATGGCTTTAGCCCTTGGTATAGGAGGAGCTGAGGGGGAGCGTCCTGAAGGAATACCATGGGTACGTTGCATTCCCGATGGCATAGCCCCTGGGAGGGACCTGGCTGAATGAGCTAAAAGGCGTCTTTGTTGAGCTCGACTTGATGCACGGTGGGGAGCAGTTATTCCGACAGAGATGCGATAATGGTCCATCCAATCATAGACCAAATTCCTTCAACATAGTAGAAATGACATTAAAAGGGAAAATACAGTAGTACATCTATTAAGTGGACACCTTCGGTTACTTGCTTTCGGTAACTTGCCTAGTGTCTCCCAAGAGAAAATGAACTAGGGATGGAATCTCTGGTATTCATGCTTGTAAGCAACGTTTGATGCTAATTTTGTAATCAGATTTGCCATCGTTAGTTTTGCCATCATACTGTGCTCGCTCTAGCTAGCTAGGCTGTTCTTTTTTTTAAAGCGCAAGAAAACATGAGCAAACAGGGTAGAGCGCGCACAGTACGCGCGTACAGAAAAACAAACGATCAAATGAATGATTCTAAAAATAGCATTGAAAATTCTAAAAAAAGCATCAGTGCTTAGGATGGGGCGTGGGGATTCCTTCTCTTAGTTCATTTTCTTTTTGTCTACTTAATAAAGGGTGTCTTATGAATAGAGGTTTGTTTTACAGTAAATATGGTGGTACCTCTATTAGAAGGACACCTTTTGTACATTGCCTGGTGTCCGCTTAATAAGGGGTGTCCGCATCTATTTACTTATGGTCGAACATTTTCCATACGAATTACTTACTTGACTTTTCGTTGAAGTTTCATCAGGTCCAGTTGCCATGGTGCATCCGTTTCGATTTCTTTTCTTTCTGGAAACTTCTCCTCCAGTTCTTTTCGACGATCCTCCAGGATTTCTTCCGTGATCGCTTCTACCTTTGGTTGTTTCTTTATTATTAATGAATAAAATTACTTACTTGCGCACTCACCAGAATTATACAAGTTTAACGAGCAATGCAAACATGAAGTTAAACGATAGAGGTTAGGGAGAAGGACGGAGGGAGAAAGAGAGAATAAGACGATGCTATTGAGATCCCCAAAACCCTCTGAGTCAGGAAAACAGAGAGAGAGAGAGAATACTTTATTTTACCTCGGAAAACGGTTTAATCAATTTACTAATTGTTTTTCATGAAAGCCGAATAAAAATATAATACCACTACTTTAAAATCGTATAAACAAATATATAATAACAAGATCTAAGTATACCTTCTAATGAATTAATTACCAAATAAAAATGGTTAGGGTCCAACAGACGAAAGATTCTTTTTAAAAATGCTTCTATTGGATTGTCTGATATCGGAAGGATATCGGAGACAGAGAAAATAATACGACGCTATTGAGATCCTAAAACTATATATGATATTTGTGAATGAAAGAAAGTACTATCATGAAAAATTACGTACCTGTGCTCGTTTTCTTTTTTCCTTTTTCTTTGGTTTCACTTTAATCGACTATGAAATATAAATCAAATGGTCAATGGAAAAGTCCGGTAATCAGTCATCACTGTTATCTGTTTCTATCTTCAAGTCTAAGGCGGAGCAGAAGATGTACAACAAAACCTGAGTGTCTAAAATGGTCACCGACGAAAGGGAGCAAAGTGCCCCTAAAAAAAGGGTATATTCTTAAACAAAGCTAAGTGTTTGTAATAGAGCACTGAATGTTGTATCCAGGCCAATCGAGAGAGTATAAATAAGAGAGGGAAACTCCTTAATATCGCGCGCTCCATGCAAATTCCAGGTTTGGCTGTTTTTAGAAACCGTATGCAGTTTAAATTTTACCTTACCTACTCCCTTGCGTCAACTAGTGCGCACGTGCGCTCTTTTTGTTTGTTGTTGCGATTGATGAAAAAACGACTAAAACTTCTGGTTTCGAAGTTTCCCTCTCTTAATCTTGGGCCAATTTATACGGTACAATTTTTCCTTACAGCTGTCGCGCGCAAACGTTTTGTGTAAATCGACCGTACAACTTGCTAACGACTGTAAATGGCAGCTAAAACTTGTTGCGCGCGACAGTTGTGAAGAAAAATAGTACCGTATGTCCATAACGAGGTTCGAATATTTAAGACTTACCTGAATGGCAGCGAGAGAAGTGAACTTATTTTCGGTCTGCAGATAACCCTTGAAAAATAAAGCAAAATTAAAGTTAAGAAGAAGGACAAATACCTTAGCGCTATGCCTTGGAATAGCGATACCTATTTACTTCCATAATTTAAGGCCGTAGCCATCATTTGGACAGTGGTCTGGATTTAAATAAAGTGGTTCGGTTTTAAGGATGGTGGAAAAATTTTCTCTAATCCTTTCCTTTTTTATGAGGGGAAAGATGGTCTGGCTTATGCTTTGCCGTGTCACGACGGTGTTCCTGATGTGAGCTTTTCACAGTCATACAAAAACTGCTCTATAAAGCTATTCGGTCCTTACCAGCTCTTCAATGCGTACTGTTTTTGCACCATTAGCCATCCCTACTTGGAACTTCGTCGATTCATTCTGACAGCTGAAGTATAAGGTCAGCCCTGTTTGGCTTATGCATCTTAAGTTGATATGTTGATTGAGCTGTGGAAATAGAAAGTCGCGGTCGGTTACTGGGGGATGCAGATCATAACGTATTGGGAAAGTAATAATATTTGATGTCGAAATCAAATTTATGATTTTAATTTGAGGTCAACGAATGCAGTTCCTTTGGCTTGTCCTTGCTTATCTATTTAGTTAAAAGATTCTTTGAAGTAATTTGCTCACCGATACGACGACTGGAGACTGTAGTTTACCCAAAGGCCACTTCCATTTCTTTTCCACTTTACCATCCTACAAAATATAGTAAACCAGACATGTAACTATTACATTACTAGATGAAAAACTTAGTGGATCTTTTTTGGAACTCACCTCCTCCATCAAGGATCCGAATTTGTGGGTAGCAATAAACCTGAAAAATAAGCAACCTTCTCGTYATAGACAAGATAGAGGAATGGAGCGAAGTGTCCGTATGAGAGAGCTGTTCGTATTAAAGAGATCTGTTTTGGGTGACTATTTCAGCCAAATCTGGTGTTTGGAGATGCACGTTTTTTCAAAGGGAAAGATTGCGCGAGTCAAGAGAGGGAGATGATGCTGAAAGTAGTGGTTTGGAAACTTGATTCGTTGCAGAAAAAAACAGTGGGAAAGATAGAAGAAGTGCACGTGGCAACGTGTAGTAACAACAGCAGCAACAATGACAAGGACGACGAAACTGGAAAGGGATAGTAGCACGAGTAGCATGAAAGGTCGGAGAATCTGCTTAATATGGTGGCATAACTTTTCATCCGTTACCAACCATAGCGATAAATTTCTTTAAAATAAAAACGCTACAATCTTCTGCATTGATAATCTGCCATTTTTCCTCTTTAATGTTAGTCTATGAAATTTTCTGGCCTATAAAGCGGGTGGCTGGTAAAATGCATGCGAGACAACATTGCTAGGAGGGGGGGGGGTGGGGATGGTCATCCACAATACTAGGTGGCACATTTTATTTTGCAGGAGATTGTATGTCAATTAAACAAAACGTACTTGATACTCCCAGTATCACTGTAGCAACATCCTACACCAGTGGGTAAAAAGGAAGCAAGCATCGGTTGATCGTCAGTGTCACCATATACAAAGGTATACTTTCCCGGTAGCCCTACACCTGACCTGATGGCACAAACAGCTACACGACCTGATGGATAGCTATGTTATGATGTAAGGATAAAACCGCATGAAAACATAATGGCTAACATAATGACGCTGGTGGAAAATATTTGCTGCGCATTTACGCAAAATTGACTGCATCCTAAAACAGATTTATTGCTGGGTCTCACTTAATGTCATTTCCTGTCTCGTGCAGAAAGTTCTCCAACTGTCACAAGTTATCAATCGCATTCTTTCTGGTTGACATGATGGTCAGTGTTTGACAACCATTTGGAGCAGATAATGAGATAAAAGGACTTTCATGATGGCTTCAAAAATTATATAATGTGAAACCCAGAAATACAAATGTTAATCCATTCTATTTAAAAAGCTTTATGAGCATTATTCATTGGTGATATCATAATTCATTGATAATATCATAGTTAGGATACTAGCAATACGTCGTGCCATCAGGAATTCCAATCAGGAACTTCGCTTTTTTCTCATTCTCAGTCATTTTTTTCCATCTTTTTGCCCATGAGACTCCCTTTTTGTATTTCATGGCAGCCTCGAGTTGTGAATCGCCATAAAACTTTTGAACAACGGGGCCATCATCTCCTAGTTCCTTGGCTCTTATTTCCGCTTCGTCTCTGTGAATAGCGAACAAATTTAGGTTCAACAAATTTTCAAAGAATTGAATTGTATCTTTGATACTTATAACGGGGAAGGTGCATGCTAAGACAGGGTTTTGTACTATCAAGAAACGCATGCCGATTAACACAACACTCATTTTCGCAATAGCCCACCTTTCCTTTATGACTTGTAGCAGCCTTGCCCTTGCCCATTCTATCATGGTCGTTCTTTCCAGATCATCTGCGTCTGACTGGTGTACAATCCATCCTACGAAAAATAAAGGAAAATGCATAGAACTCAATATATCAAAAGTAACAGTAGCAGTGGAATTACTTTATTACGAACACCTGGTCTGAGAGACAGGACAAGGTGTCCGTATTAAAAGGGTGTCCGTATTAATAGGGTGATTAATTTGAGCCGGAGTAAATGTGATCCACTGGGACAAATGCAAGTGACCGTTATAAAACCGTGACCGTTATAGAAAGGTGTCCTTATTAAAGGAGTATTAATGCCACGGTCAAACGCAGTTAAAATGGACACCACTGGATCGGCGTAGGTGTCCGTATTAACAGGGTGGTCGTAATAAGGGGATTTATTTTAAAGTAAGTGCAATCCACTGGGACGAGAAAAGTGGCCTTAACAAGGGTATCCCCATTAAGAAAGTATACATTTCCAAGGACGAACCAAGTTAAAACTGATGGGACAAAAACTAGTGTTCGTGAGAGGCGTCCTTATTATGGGAGTGTCTGTAAATTGGTACGGAAGGAAGGTGCAACAAGCATTGTTCGTGCGCCGTCATTTTTCAAAGCCATAAAGCAGTTTTCATATGACTGTGAAAAGCTCAAGGAACGAACACGGTCGTGCCGGACACGGCAGGAAATAGGTCAGACTAATCACATTGCTCCGGCGAAAATTTACTCTCCATCCAATCAAATACCCAGAACACGACATAAACACGGCGCGGACACGGTCACGCCACGGTCACAGCTGTCAGACCAATCACATCACGCAAGAAAAAAATTAACCAATTGAAATTCTAGAAAGCATTACGGTCACGGCACGGCAAGCTTACGGCACTGAGTTTTTTCACAGTCATGCGAAAGCTGCTCTTACAATAAATTACATTGTTATTCACAACAATAGCTTACCTCTGTCTTCACACTGTTTCGATAGCAAAGAGAAGTTGATGACAGAAGGCTGACCTGGTGCTTGCATTTGTACTGAAGGAACTACACATCAAATGATAAGATAAGGAATAAAATATAATAAGCGATTCATGGTTAAGGTTACAAGAGAGGAACATACAATAGAGTTTCCTGGGATATTAAAGGCGCGATCACACGGAGCAATTTTCTCTGCAACTTGTCTCGCAATCAGCGTTGCGATACGAGTCAGTTGCAAGATTGCTTCACGGTGCAACAAAGACGCAATCGTTGCCACAAAAAGAAACGAAAAAAACTGCGCTGAAGGGAGTATACACGCGCTGCAATGCTCCATGCAACATGCTCCTTAAAGCTATCTGGGCAATCAGAGGAGAAGAAAGGAACGGAAGTGAGTGGAAAGATCGCAAAATTATTACTACAAACCTCTGGCTTACAACAAACGCTATAAAATTATGTTACATTTATAACGTATTTATCAATATATGTTGGGAAATACTTCTCAGTCGTAATATAAGTATGTTAGATATAAAAAACCGATGCTAAATGGACCTAACATTTACTCGGGTCTCTGAATGGCGATAAAACATTTCAGGCAGAATGCTATTAGGAAATATTACCTTCAGACGTTTCTTTGAATTCTTCATCAAACGTTTGATCTTCGAAGTAGACATGGTCGGGTACTATACTTCCTCTTGGGACACTGCTACCACCGCGGCCAATGCCACCAGGTGTAGCACCTCCACCACCACCACCACCTCCTCCACCACTACTATATCCAGCACCACTATATCCTAGATTGTGTATCTGGGTTGATGTTTTTCTTGTTCTGACAGGAGTGCTGGCTAAAGATTCTGTTAACATATAATAAAAGTGGATGAATAAACAAGAGTTGGCAACAGGACAAATCGCTCAAATGGTCGCTATATATWTTTGCCGTTTAATAGAGGTATGAATTATTATTGCAAATCTCTCTGGTTCTTTACGCGTTTGATAAGTGGTCGCTAAATAGAGGTTTGCAGTTTTCATAGAGGTATGAGTTATGAGTGCAAGTCTCTTTGGTTCTTTACGCGCTTGAGAATTGGTCGCTGAATATGTTGACCGTTTCATAGAGGTATGAATATTATTAGTTCAAGTCTCTGGGCTCTTTGACAACTGGTCGCTTACAGAAGTTGAGCGCGCGAGAAGAGGTTTCTATAGACGCTCTACAGTACTTCAAAAGGCGCAAAAATTCCTGAAATATTGGTAGAAATTAGCACAAGTGAACTATGAAAAGGAGTACTGCATATAGATCTGTAGAACCGAACCATCTGACGGCAAGGTCAAACCGCAAAAGAGCACAATTGCAGGATGTTATGAATTTCTTTATCGAATTTGGCATTTTTATCACGCAGGTAATTTGGACGTATTAATTAAGCTGGTTGTCAGCCTTCTTGCYCTCTGAACCAGCTCTTGAAAAGAAATAGTGCATATGACAAGAACTAAGCGTGAGCAAATATTTATAACTTTCAATTCTGTCAACGACGAAGGAAAAAAAGCTTCACGTATCTCAATAGGTAAAAACATAAAATTTAAAACTTCAGGCAACTAAATGGAAAATTCTTTCACGACATATAATTTTTTCCTAATTGTTTTCCCCAGTCTCTTGATGATTTTACGATGCGCCATAAGTTTGTACACTCACGTCAAAATCATTCAATATTTTACTTCAAATTCGTTTTTGTTAAATTTAAGTATATGCCAAAAAACTCGGAAAAAAATTGCGAAAAAAATATTACGGCGAGAGATTTTAATTGTTGGCGATGGCATATGATAGATGATAGACAGCGAGTGAAATAACGAGGACGAAATACGATATATTAAAATTTTACAATTATCTAGCGCGCACTTATCAAAATAAACGCCTTGGAAAATTAGGATAATGAATTGTTTACTTTTACAACTTCATCATTTTAACTTTGCATATTTTAACACATTGTAGTTTTTCATATTACTGTTAAAAATGTACTGCAAGTTATCTTTTTTCTCACCTTTAAAATATTTGTAATCAGTTAAGAAAAAATTCTAAAAGTCTTACCTCCTTTATCAGCATAATACTTGAACTTTTCAATTCTTGTTTTTGGTTTAATAAATACATTCGAAGCCCTGGACTCTCTCCTTTGAGATAATATTTGTGAAGCAGCTCCTTCGTGTACAAACTCCTTGTTCATTGATGATTTATTCCCAATCAATTCATTAGATTCTCCATCCTTTTTCACTGGCTTTTTCAAGGCGTCTTTCGATTCGGAACTTTTAATATTTTCATTGTCTTTCTTGTTTACAGCATCCATCGTTGTTGCTGTAACTTGGTTTGTAGTATCTGGTTTTTGTCCTTCTAAAAATTGCTGCACGTCTGTAGTTCCTAATCTTTTTTGAAGAATTGCCTGCTCTCTATAACTAGCAGTCTGCCATTCTCTTTTCACATAAACAGCATTAGCACTTAGACCCTCGTAATTATTTAAAAGTTTTTGACTCAAATCGTCCGGTAATTGAATAACAACACCTCCACTACGCAAGGTTTCTGTAACCTCGGCCTCTGGTTCCTCTATTAACACAGGACTGCCAGACAATTGACTACTTGTAGATAAAATATCTTCAAGTTCTTCGACTTGTTTTCCGTGAACAAAATCAATTAGTTTTCCTAGTTGTGCGAGTAAGTTCGGAGCGGCAAATTTGTTTTCCTCGAATAAAAATCTTTGAGTGTCCTCTTCCTCGTCATCACCTTCAAGTTGCTCAAAACTTTTGATCCCCGTGTTCCCGAAGTGTCTTAAGCTGATATTAGGAAGGTGAATATTCTTTTTTTCGGTTTTCTTTTCCTCGGATTCCTGTTTTAAGTCGTTTCCAAGTTTATATAAATTGTTTAAAACTGTTTGGTTTTGTTCTCCTCCAGTCGGACCCGGAGCCTCAGTCGGTTCACCTTGATCTTGATCAACTTTCTCTGGCGTTTCTTCTTTGTTTTTGCTTTCTTTAGCTCTCTGTTGTTTTAAATAAGCTTCTACTCTTACAGCTCCACTTAGACCAGTTAATCGAACGGAAAACGGCAATAATTCAGGAGGTTTACGATAGCGTCTGTACTTTCTCTTCTTGCTTCTAATGTCAGCGAAGAAACATAGATCCATTCGTGACAACATAGCGCGAGCAAATTCCCTGCGAATTCGAAGAACGCGTTCGATTTTCTAGGCCAAAAACTTAGCTCCAAACGTTAGGGATCCATGTACGAAGTGTTAAGGTAATAATAACTTTAAAATTATAGAAAATTATTGATTTACATTGGCTCTACTTGTGACTTTTGATTAATAAGTGTTACTTGTTCGCTTTGGTGCCGTAACCATGACAATGGGGTCGCGAAATCGGATAGGGTGCTCATTTCACATTCCGTTGAATAAAAGACTTAGTTTATGATTCAATAGAGGCCATTAAGCCTAAAACAGGGCTTTTGTTATAGGGTCTTAGTTAAGGTAAAGAAAAAATTGTGATTTTAAAACASGCTCATCAGTTTATGAATTTAAAAAAAACATAAGTACGAGTTTGGACATTGTCAGAAAGGATTCCCATCGATTCTCATCATGACACAGCAGACGTAACCCAAAATACTGATCTCATGGGGTCGCAATAGGCCTCAAATGTTCAGATATCGTGGCAAGACAAATACAGACTCGTTATTAAAAATGGAGCAAGAACGGCTTATGGTGATCAAATGAGTTTTTCGAATTTATGAATTGACAAAGTGACAAAGTRCCACCAGTTGTCAATGACATTGCTAGTCCTTTTATCTAAGCAAACGAAATAAGGGTATAAAGTTGTGTTATTTATCAACACAGAAAGATTAGACTTCAGTCAAGTGGAATTCAGATTTAATTTCTTATTCGCAGAGATAAAACCTTCAAAAAATCGAGAATCATTCGTAAATTCAAGTTTGCTGCAATGTGAGTTAGTGTTCGTTGGTGATAGAAAAATGGAAGTGGATGGTACATACCGAATGTCTGGGCCGCGGATGGCAGTATTTTCGTATTTAGTTCCCTGAACAGGTGGTTCTGTTCGGACAAGTAGAATAAATACTAGATAAAATGAATAACGATTCTCAATGTTTAGATTCCATGATTTATGTATAAGTTATTTGGCGGAGAAAATATAAAATGCAATATTTAGTGAATGGAAACGATAACAGACTTCGGTTGTCGACCAAGGTCTTGCTGTTGTTTTATTAAGAATATTTCAGTTCTTCGCATAAAATATTGATAAAAATGAAACAAGGATTGCTTTTTTAACATGAGTAAACGAGTGGAGGAATAAATGGATTGTTCTGCTTTTTCTTTCGAAAAACTAATTAGACATATTATTATTATTATTATATTATTATTTGCTAAAAGTTGGTTATTACGACCACGAAATAATTCAAGTCACAAATAAAGGCATCATGAGTTACTCATCGTTATTCAAGATTGCTATTCGTCTACACAGACGATCATCGAGATTAGCTAAAGTGAAGATCAACTCTTGATGCACGCGCGCTTAATGATGTAACGGTTTGCCAACGGGAACAGTCTATGGAAAAGCAAAGGTATCCCGAATTAAGGATTGCTTCAACTTCTGTAGGCCACACGAACGTGGGAAACCGGCATTATTTTGTAAGTTCAACGAAAATCAGAGATCAAAATTTATCGAACAGGAACGACTGAAAACGAAAAACAACGAGGCAAGCAGGCAAGCAGGCAAGCAGGCAAGCAGGCAAGCAGGCAAGCAGGCAAGCAGGCAAGTTGCAAAGTAAATACATTTACTATAAGCTCACACAATTTCCCGTACATCTGACCTGGAAAGCACTGACTCATAACCTGTGACTATCTTCTTTCTCTGTGTTTTCCTGACTCTAACGACATCTTTCCATCTCTCTGGCATTTTTAAACTATTATTTTTCTTCCTTAATTTGAAGGAATGCGTTTTGCGTTTCGCGCCAAAATTACCGCCAGCTTTGTATGATGGTATAATTTATACACCGAGTGAAAAGCTCGTCGGTAAATGTGGCGCGAACGGCAAAGATGACAGTACCGTCCTCAGTACCGCCAGTAAATAGCGGAGCGGATGACTTACAAAATCTAAAATTCATTAATTCTAAAATTGAAGTAAATAATTATCGGCTGAACTATAGGTTCTCCCATTTTTCCAGGGCATCGACTCCAATGTCATTCCAATCGTCTTGCGTGATGCAGTGCTCCTCGAACAGAGGTAGATTGGCCACCACTGATGCACCAATGAAGGCTGAATAATGACGATCTGTACCTGCATGGACCTTGAGAATAAAGTAAGTTGTGATGAGTTGAGTAGAGATAGAAGGTTTACTGAGGCACGTCAATTGAGAGGGACCGTTTGAGAAAGAGAGGAAAGTCGAGAAAGGAAAAAAAGTGGTAAAAAGGAAGGAAGATAGCATTGTAGGGTGAATGTATGGATGTGGTGATGGATGGAAGAAGGGAACTAGAGGAAGGATGCAACTAGAGGAAGAATGCAAATAGAAGGAGGAAGGTTGGATGGAACTGGAGGGATGAATGGAAGGAAGGAAGAAAGGAAGGAAGGAAGGGAAGGAGGGAGGGAGGGAGGAAGCAAGGAAGGTAGCAGGGATTGGAGGAAGGAAGGGAAGGAGGGACGGAGGAAGCAAGGAAGGTAGGAGGGAAGGGGGGGAAGGAAGGAAGGAAGGGAGGGAGGGAGGAACTGAGGAAGGAACTGAGAAAGGAACTGAGGAAGGAACTGAGGAAGGAACTGAGAAAGGAACTGAGGAAGGAACTGAGGAAGGAACTGAGGAAGGAACTGAGAAAGGAACTGAGGAAGGAACTGAGGAAGGAAGGAAGGAAATAATATATAAATAAATATCAACAAGATTAACTAAAATACCTGGACAATGTTGTGGGGTGGTAAGAGTGCACTCACTTCTGTCTGGAGTCTTTCAGGAAAACCTTAACAGAACACAACAACAGTACGTCAGACCTCGAATGGATCCCCTGTATGTGACGTCAAAGCAGCTCAATTTGGAGGACAAAACCAAAGAATTTCAATCTTATGAGAATTGGAAACTTATTGTTATGTCCTCCAAATTGAGCTGCATTCTCACGTGCCGCAGGGGTTCTATATTTAGTACAAACAGTACAACTCTGTGCAGTTGATTACATCTAAATTTTAGTGATTAGATATCACTGCAAACAGGCCAGATTTCATCTGAATGTTTCATCGAGTAGCAACGTCTTTAATGCTAACAACAGCTATTTCACGTGATACTTGACGTCACATACAAAGTGTCTCCAGCTGATGTGAAATAGTGACGCAGAAATGACGTCACTGCAAAACTGAGGTGTCATGAAGCTTGCGAAAATTCACCAGCGAAAAATAAAAACATGCCTTCCATTGTAAATATAATATAACTCATTAAATATAACTCCTTAATTATTGTGATATTGTTATCAAAAGCTTATTAGCAACGTGTTTTTTTTCACTTTAAGGCTTGGAAATCCATAATTTTAAAATGGAAAGTGACACATCAGTTTTGCAAATTTTCTCGATTCTGATTGGCTACTAATTTTTCTCAGATCAGCTGCCTAAAGGTAGGCTATAAATACCTGGTAACATAGATCCACCGCCACTCAGATAGATGCTCCGACACATTTGTTTACGGACATCCATACTACATGCCATAATGGCCTTGTATGTGAGGTCCTGAATACCCGGATGATCCTTGCCCCAAACGTGAGGCTTGAACAATCCTTCTGTACAGCGGTATCTCGCAGTATCGAACGTCACCTTCCTTTAAAGATCAAGGAAATATTAAACAAAAACAATAGACTTAATCCACGGTTTTCCCATTTCAGACCACGTGTGATTTCCTAGAGTATCATTTCTTTGCTTAATGGTTGCGCATGAGAAGACAAATGAATATGGATACAACTCAAACAAAGAATCTTATTCTCGAGAGAATGACACGTGGTCTGAAATGGGAAAAACATTACGCCTAAGTGGATTACGTCCATTATATTAGGTTTTTTAAAGACTATTTTAACTGGATACAAAATTATGAAACAGCAGCCTTAATATCAAATGGATGGCAAGATAAAAAAGATTGTATCCTTAATCACAGTCGGTTCATGCTGAGTGTCTGCCGATAGAGTTTTTGCACCATCACGTGATGGCAGCCATGACAGGAGGGCACAACAATAGAGTCTCCCCCCCCCCTCCCCCCCCGGGAAACTGAATTATTTCTCATGTAAAGCATATTAGACCAGATACAACGTGATGTTGCAAAGTGTTTTGCCTGCGTAGTCATGCAAATGTATGTGGTCGGTTGGCGGGAATGGGTTGCGGTTGATAACAACTACGTACTCTACTTGGAAGAAATTATGTCGAAAACTATTGAAACTATTTTGTGAAAACTCTAGAAGGATATCAAGCCAATGAACAATAAATAGAGCACTATCGCGTGAACTTAAATGTTAAACCACGAGCGCACTGTTTTTCATTTAATTATATTTTGTTATTGCTGTTTTCTGTTATCTGAATTGGTTTTTCCCTGCCGCCAGTCAAAACATAAAAGGTACCGACTGATTATTTTTGATTAATGGCAGCAAAAACCCAAATTTCAGCGTGCAGCTTGTAACTACCGAGTTAGCAGAATATGGAAAACCTCAGTAAGATATTAGACATACTTTGTTCCATCAGGAATGTTATACTTGGCCAACATGACATCAATCGGGTGGCATGGCATGTCTTCATCGTCACTGGTTTTACTTTCGGACACGTAACAAGCCTGTTGAATGGAAGATCTGAGTTTAGAAACAAAATAACAGAATTTCTTTTTCGTTTGAAATTCGTTTCTAACTCCAGTGGTAAAAGTCAATGGTAAGTTTATATAACCAATTTTTATTTCACCCCACTTTGCCCTTGTTTCCGTTTATCTTATTAAAAATATATGTCATCTCTGCGGTGAGGCTAAAAGTCAAAAGTAGTTGCAAATATTTTTTCCAGGTTTCAAACACTAAACCCAATTGATGCTCTAACAGCGGCAATATAGATAGCTCAGAATTAAAACTATTTTTCCCCGAAAAACTTTGATATAAAAGTGCTTAGTAAATGACGAAAGAGCAGCCAAGTTTCCATGGCAACCGCAGCACGTGAAACCTTGAAACGAAGCATGCCACTTGCTGCAAATCTTAACTTTTCTAACAAGGACTAAAGGTTTAAAAACACACAATATAACTTAGTTTTTGGTAGTCTTAGCAATATAAATGGACATAGATATAGTGACGTGGATCGGAAAGAGGATAAATGGAACGAACAATTGTAAAAATGAACAAATGAATGAATGAATGAGTGGGAGTATACTGTTCGCAGGTTTTGTGCATGCTTACAGTATGTCCCAGAGATCTACTTTATACCTCCGAACCTAATTACCTTTCTCTTCTAATTCCCTGTGTCCAGTTGTACGAACAGTGGATAGCGTTATCCGATGGATAAATCCTTATCCAGTGGATAAGTCGATGCTGTTATCCAATAAAATTATCCACTGGATAAGATTTATCCGTCGGAATGCGCTATCAACCATTTATATGCAATCGTGCAATGATTTCAGTCTACTGTTTCATCTAATCGGAATAACCTCACACACATTCTTTTCATTCAAGTCGGAAGAGGGGCATGCACCTGATAGATGTACTTACCTTTTCTTTAATGTATCGCGTGATATAGGATTCGACTTCAGCGAAGAACCTAGAATGTTGCGTACAGATAAGTGAAATTATGAATGTATATGGAATGATTGGAGGAATGGCGCACATGGCTGAATATGGCATTCGACTTCAGAGAAGAACCTAGAATGTTACGTACAGATAAGTGAAATAATGGATGTATATGGAATGATTGAAGGAATGGCGCGCACGGCTGCATATGGGATTTGACTTCAGATAAGAACCTAAAATGTT